CAAGTAATTGAAAACCTTCTTTCCTAGTATTATCTGGGTTATAGGCAAAATGTTTAGATTTTGTAGCACTCTTGAACATGAGGTAGTAAAAGACACAGTATTTGGTGCTTATACAAGTTGCCTTTAGATTAACATGACTTTTTCTTGAATATGTTTATTATACCATGCTGTCTAAAACCGGATATTTAGAGTTACATTCTTTTTTTCTTTTTTCCTTTCCTTTCTTTTTTCAGCATAACGTTTAGATTGACAACCTTGTTTTCTCATTAATTTCCTTATGAAATAAAAGACCAACTGGCATTTGCCATCTGGTCTTTCAACATAGAAGACCACTAGGTTTTTCCCGTTCCTCCAGATTCTCTTTCCTGCTTCTCCTCTTTTATATATTGCATGTATACATTTAATTTTGAAATAGTCTTTCATCTTTAAAGAATGAAAGCATTTCTTTTTTAGCGATAGCGTAATGTGGATCGATTGTTTCATTTTGGATCTTTCTAGGCCATAGTTGTTGCACTGTATTAATAATTCTCATCATTATGAAGCCAGATGGGAAGTGGAGTCATGTTTGAGGTTCTTGAGGCTCATTCCATTTGCCACTTGTAGTTTTCTAGCCTAAAATTCCCTTTCACTGTAGTTGTGAAATTTAAAAGGGATAAAAGTACTGATTTTACTTGTAAGTTGACTATTTTAAGGACTGAAGGTATGAGACTGCAGTAGGTTACTGCAAATTTCATCCTTTCTTAATTGTTTTTCTCCCTTCAAACATCTGTTCCTTTTAGAACGTAATTTAAAGGTAGTTGAGCAGGGAATTCAACAAAGATAGATTATCCTAGAGAAAAATCTAAACAAGTCTCTGTTCTGGTCTCTGAGCAGGACCAAATTACTTGTTCCAGAATCAGTATTGGTTTTTTTTACCCCCCACTTCCTCATCTTTTTTTTAAAATAAGAAAGCAATATTAAAAGTTATGAAACATTAGAATTTCTTTCTTCCATCAGTGCTGGGAGCCCATAGAAGATGCCCTGTCCAGAAATTGTACCTCTAGCTATATATTCTAGAAAAATCCTTATACATGTTCACATTGGTGTCTACACAAGTATGTTCACAGTGGCCATGTCAGTATGTCAAAAAATCTTGGAAACAACTTACATTTCCTTCAGTTGCAGTCTGGTTAAGTAAATTATGGCATATACATCATTTGAAATGGTATGCAGTACTCAAAAAGAATGAACTGGTCCTGTGTGTACTGACGGGAAGATCCCTAAAACCTGTCAATAAGTTAGAAGAAGGATAACACTTGCGTGACAATATGTGAAGAATGATTCCATTAATGTTTTTATTTTTTTTATTTTTTCCTTTTTGTCTTTTTTTCGTGACCAGTAATGGGATTGCAACCCTCGGTGTCGCGCCCGTACCACGACCGGCAACGGGATCGCAACCCTCGGTGTCGCACCCACACCGCGCTCAACCAGTGAGCGGACCGGTCTCTATATGGGATCCGAACCCTCGGCGGGAGCGCCGCCGCACTCTACCGAGTGCACCACCGGGCCAGCCCGCATTAATGTTTTTAAAAGCCATATTTATATATAGTGTGGGGGTGAGTATTGGAGAGGTGGGGAGAGGGAGAGAATGAAAATATCAAAGGAGGGTAGTAATGGGATTTGCTGAGTTGAGCCTATTGAGGGGGAGACAGTGAGAAAGGACTTTTTCTCTCTATTTCTTGAACTTATTACAGTGAAATGTTTTCATGTATTATTTTCATAAATTTTCAAAAAAGTATATGTATGCAGGAAAAAAAAGAAGATGCCCTAGTTGTTTTTAACAAATTCATCCACTGAGAATGAGCCCATCCAAGATGCTTATCTCAAATTCATGGATGTCTAAAAAGGATAGGATTCCTTGGCTTATCACAAACCCACATGGATAGGGAGACTGGAAAAATAGAGGTGATGGGAAACTGGCTTTCAGTAAATATGACATAGACTGCAGTGGTGGCCCAGTAGAGGAGTTTACAGAAATGATGAGACTAGAACTTCTCTCACTCTGTTATTAGGGTTAGTCTTTGGGCTCTTTCCACCATACTCTTCACTTCTAAAGCACTTGCTCACATGTAAACAGACATCAGAACAATCAAGTGAAACGTAAAGCTGTGGAAATCCCCCTAGTTTTTCCTTCCTTAACAAACCAGTGCAAGGATTGGTGTGTTTTAAAATATGGGTTTTATGATTATTGAGGTATAGTGAGGCCCACAGATGGGGAGATGACTGCAATGAAAAGATAGGTGGTTGTTCTTGCAGATCACAAGAGCAAGGACACGCCACGCCGTGCAGGGCCACACAGAGAAGTGCCAGGCTGGTCAGGAGGCAGAGGGAGCGAGGAAGAAACATGGGCAGGAGCCTTTATTGTGGTTTCCATGGGAAAGAATGGGAGAGGCAGAGTCAACGGATTTAGGATTGGGTAGTTTGAATAATTTCCATGGGCTCTGCGCTTAGGGGCTGTCCCTAGTTGTCTGGTGCCTGGCCCTGGGGAAATTAGGACAGGTGGACAGTGGCCTGGAGTATAAGAGCCCCATAGAGGAGGTGGTTGGGATTACGGGCTCTGGACTGGCTGGTTTGCATATGAAATACATATGCACAGGCGTGTCGTCTACTATCTCTAGGAACCTCCTGGCCCTGCAAGAGGCAGTCCATTCAGAGTGAGCAAGACCCAGATGTCAAGGCATCAGAATACAGAATAAAAATGCATGGTTCATACTCAGGGGCAAAGATGCAAGAATCACCATGCTTTTGGGGTTTCCTGCTTAGATTTTATGTCAAGGAGGAATTTGGTGGCAAGCTTAGAGTCTTTCTTGGATGTGCCAACCTTTGAATATGTTTTTGGGGGCGACTTTGGGCCACTCTTGGTACAATAATTGAGAAATCGTTCACGCGCTCATATTTCAGGCAAGACGGACAGGTGCAGCCTCTTTCTGTGTGTTTGGATCTACTCAACTCTTTGTGGGTCTGTGAAAGCAAATCAGAATTTGTTTCTCCCTTTTCCCTCCTCAAGCTATCTCATATGTTGGTTTAGAATTTTAGTTTGCATTTACCTTTCTTTATGTGTCGTATTTCTAATCTTTTAATTTAATGTTGGCTTCAGCTTTCTGTGCCCTATTAATTTCTTATTTGTCTGCTTAGATTTACTGTTTTCATTTTTTTAACCAATGCTTTTTCCATTATGGGTATTTTCCTTTGTGGTCACTCTTTTTTTAAAAAAACCCACTTTTAACAGCTTTATTGAGGTATAATTTATATACCATAAAATTAACCCACTGTAAGTATACAACTCAATGATTTTAGTCCATTTAAAGAGTTGCAAAATCATCACCACAATTTAGTTTTATAACCAAAATCTTTACACAAAAGCATCCCCATCTATGGTCACTCAGATTTTATACTGCCCTATGCATTAATAACTTAACACTAAATAAAAGTGATCCTTACATTTTAGAATAGATTTTCTTGTTTTAAAATAGGTCCTGCTGACTTTATTTTTTAATATAAAAATAATACCTGCTTGCATGTTTTTGCCACATGTTTAACAATACAGATTTTCATTCTTTTTTTTTTTTTTCATTTTGTTTTCCTGTTTCCCAAAGACCAAACGCTGCCAGGCGATCAGCTCACCCTCATGCCTCATTCTCATTCAGTGGATGTGTCTCATTCCTGCCACCTTTGAGCAGGTGTATACACATTTCACCTCTCTCTTCCCCAGTACTTTGCTCCTCTTCTTCTGACTTCTTTAACTTCATACTTTTTTCCCTCTTCATCCTTTTTTGTCCTTATTCTACCCAAAGCTACAATTATTGGACAGGGAGGGTTGGACCATAGACTTGGTTGGTGAAAAGGAAACCATTATATTTTCTTTTTTCCCTACATTAACCCCACTTTCCCCTGTGTTTTGTGGACCGGTAGTAAACCAGGTCAAATGGTTTGTGTTGTCCTTCTGCACCAGACAGCCCACCTCATTATTTCATTTCCTGGAGCAGTGTTGAGCCTGTCTTTGGCCCCAGTTAAACTTAGCCCTGACTTTGGAAGGGCAGCTCAAGGTAAGATTCGGAAGGAGGCATCTTGCATACCTTGTTAAGAGAGAGAACAAGTAAAGAGTGTCTTAGAAGGAGGAAGCTTCTAAGAATAAAGTGGAATTATCTCACATTCCCATGGTGTTCAACCCCAAGTAAACTAATATTAAGATTGCCTTCCACTTTTACAGCTTTACTGTCTTCATATACATTACAATGATCCTCACAACAATGTGGTATCGTGGAGGAAAAGTGCGGAGGGGAGGGCATTAAAGTCTGTTTCTGCTCTTTCACTTACTGCTCTGTGACTCTGAGCAAGTTAATTTTGCTGGGCCTCAGGTACCTCATCTGTAAAATGGGAATGATAATACTTCATAGAATTAGGGTAAGGATTAAGTTAAATAACAACTTTCTATCCTTATCAGAATGAACTGTGTATTCTCCGTGGGTACAGTACCAGGAAATGGACAAAGCCATAGACTAAATAAATAATCTCTTCCAAGAATGTCAGTTTAACTTGGAAATTGGTGGCGGTGGTGGTGGAGGGGGTATTTTCTTGTTTAAATTAGAGCAGATATACTATGTGAGGTCCATCTTAATTTTTAAAGACAACTCAATACATCAAAGAAATGGCATGCTTGGAACGGGCAACTTTAAGTCATACCCTGGGGTCCCCTGGCACTCTGCCTTGAAGAGTGTTTCCATGAAGTGTTTGAGAAGCACTGAGACATGAAAGAGTCTACCATAGTCTATGCCACACAGCACGGTCGTGTGTAACTTCTATTTATGTTTTATGTTGCATCCAGTTGTATTTCCCTAGCACCCACCTGGCCACCTCCTCTTGGACGTGGCTAACACTGGGCTCATCATCTGCCAGTATCTTTTAACAAACAGTGTGGTTACCTGCTCACACCTGCTTCTCTGTTTGTCTTTTGCTTGCAGCCCTGGAAAGGAAAATATCAATGCGGCAAAGCAGGGAGGAGTTGATAAAGCGAGGGGTCCTGAAGGAAATCTATGATAAAGGTAAGGAGGACTGGTCTGCTGTCCGTGGCCAGCAAGCTGTGCATGGGATCTCTGTGCATATTTCCTGGAGTTGCATTTCATTTTCTGCATCACTTTATAGGATTTGAACCTTTAAAACTCCAGACAATTCTGGAGGCAAAGGAGCATGTAGTAGACAGTGCTAAAGCTATCAGTATTATATGAGAAGAGGGGAACGAAGCTCTCCTTTCTCAGCATTGCAATCAAACCACAGGATGCTAAGAAAAATGGTGCGGCTGCCGGGATGAGGAGAGGTGCAGGTTGCCAGTCTGTTGGTTCACGAACACACACAACTGGGGTGAATTTCACTGCTTAGGCTCTTTCGGGCACTAGGGGTTCCCAAAACAAATGCTTAAAATCCACAAGAGTCTAGGATTTCCTTAACAAGTTTTTCTTTGTTTGTTTTTGGCAGTCTGTCTCCTCACAATAGAAGAAACTGAAGTGGAGAAAATTATAATATAGGACTATGCACATGAATATTTTAAAGGATATTATTTACAGTGATTCAAATGCTCTGTAAATGTGTCCACAAGTGGTTGCTAGTGATTACCGCCGCGTGTCTTTTGCTTATCGATTTACTCTTTAAATACGAACGTACGCAGTGGTCTACGCAGTGTATCAAGTATTCTTTGCTCCCCTTTTCTGAGAGCTTTGCTGTCTTAAATTGCACTTGCATGTGTGCCCACTCTCTGCTGCTTCTGTCTTCTTTCTTCTCTCTCCTCTCTCTCCCATCCTGAGGACACACTCTCCCTGTTAGGGCTTTAAGTGATATAACAGACTGTCACTTCCAGTCTTGTTACAGTTGTCAATAGTAGTTGTCTGTGTCAGGTCTTATTGTTTCAGGCTGGTGTTATTTGGCAGGCCAGGTTATTAAATCATATAATATTCTGCTTTAAAGATCCATCACGATAGTCAAAGTGCTCCAGGAATTCTGATGACGCGGCCAGTTTTCTGTGTTTCTGTAGTCCCTGTGCCTCGTTTGTGTGCTGACACAAAAAAACAGGACATGCTGCTAGGTCGTGGTACTTCTCATTGACGACACCCTTTTGTAAGTTGGTCCTTATTCCTCTGGTCCGTCTCACCTCATCCAGTCTTGTCATGGGGCTTCCCAGTTTATTTTTGTATTTTTGAAGTATTTTCCCTTAGCATAAAATGCCAGTCTGAAATGCAAGTCGGAAGCAGCACCGTTCTTGCCCAGCCCTGGTGGCAAGGGATACTGGAGGTGGGGCGTGCAGTTGAGCTTTTTCAAACTACGTTCTGTAATGATCAGAGCCTCCTGGGTCCAGGGAATCCCTGAGGTACAACACCTTATCCATCTACTTGTAGGTAAGGCCATACCAGAATATAGCTTCTCTGGTTGATTAAGATCTCCAGGGGAAAAGAATCCATAATTTTGTCACTTTCCTCCAACGTCTTGCTTTCTGTACAATCCCCCATCCCTCCCTGGTATTGACCTTAAATCTCCACACTTCATCATAAGCTCCTTTCTCCTTGTCAGTCTTCAAGAGAGATGGAAGATGTCTGACTACAGGTATAATATTATATACTAAGCACCCAAATGCTGAAGTAAATATTACTGTCACAGCTAACACCTGTCCAGACTCTTAACAGTCTGTCCCCCACCCACTTCTTTCTTCTTAAACTTCATATCTCTCACTGTAAAACTTCAGGAATCTTCTGAAGTTGCAAACACTTTTTACTATAGCATTTATTATTTCCATTACATCTAATAACTGGGTGAAGGTAAGTATTGCCCAGTGGCTTCCTGACTTAAAGAAATCAGACTGGTAGAGCAAAAGGCTCGTTCTATAGGGAAAGACACATGGGGCCATTGAGGCTGGGGCTAGTCAATGACACGCCAGCAGTCGGGAGTTTCCCAGGAGTGGGGGATGTCCTCATCCTCAGCTGTTTCTTCATCAGCAGGCACAGAGTTGCCACACACACACACACACTCAATAAGTGGTTGTGGGGCCGGCCTGGTGGCGCACTGCGCTAGTGCGCCGCTTGGGAAGCGCGGCGGCGCTCCCGCCCGAGGGTTCGGATCCCACATATAGACCGGTTCCCGCTCACTGGCTGAGCGAGGCGCGGGGGGCAACACCGAGGGTTGCAATCCCGTTGCCGGTCCCCGGTCCGGTACGGGGGCGACACTGAGGGTTGCGATCCGTTGCCGGACACGGAAAAAGACAAAAGACAAAAAAATAAATAAATAAAATAAGTGGTTGTGGAAGAAAGGAACAGTCCCCACCACCTGTCACTTGTCACCACAGCTTTCTGTTTTATCTTTGCACTTGTCAAGGCCTGCTCCATTTGCTTGGTTGACTGACTTTCCTTACTAGCACGAAACTGCAGTAGGGCAGGGACCTCTGAGGCTTACTGCTAGATCCCCCGAGTCTTGAATAATGTCTGATGGAGATTAGACTCTCAGAAATGTTTACTGTTTGGATGATGGGAAGAGGAGAGGAAGAGGGGGACTAAGATTAAAACTCCATTGCACATAGTGGGTGTATTGGTTTGTGTTTGCTGTGGGATTTTCTGATAAAAGCATCTATTTAGATTCACTGTAGATATTAATCTCATTACCTTACACAAGGGTACTTAAAAAGTTCATGGAATGATTCGTATTATCTTTTAATTCCAATTTTCCATGAACTGTTTGAAGTACCCTCATATTACATGCACTACGTCAGCAGTTAGGAGCATGGGCCCTGGAATCAGATTACCTGGATTCAATTCCAGCTCCACTACTGACTGGCTGTGCAACTTTAGTCAAATTGCTTGACTTCTCTGTGCTTCTGTTTCCTTATCTGAAAGTGGAGATGCTGTTATGATGCAGATTGCATGTGGTAACCCATGCAAATTAGAACAGTGGCTGGCATCCTATAAATTTTCAAGAAATGTTAACGTGATTATCATCATCATCATCATCATTATTTATATTTTTCAAACCTTTCACACGCCTCACTCTAGGTGACCCTATCAACAGCCCAAGAATTAGGAAGGGTAGACATTAGGAAGGGTCCCCTTTTCTCTGATAATTAAAAAGGCATAAAGACCTTCAATCCCCTCAAAATGGTCTTACCAATGTCAGTGCCCAGTGAGAACCCAGCTCCTGCGCCTAATTCAATTCTCTTTTTACACGTCCCCCATGCATTCCTTTTAGCCTCTAAACGAGTCATTTTCCTATCGTTTATTCTTTCCTTTCTGTACCATCATTCTCCTTGAGATTCGGGTGGACAAAAGAAATAAAATTTTATTGCCACCACCTCATGAACAGCAAATAGCAAGGAGACATTAATCGTTTTTTCAAGATGTTAGTTTCAAAGATACATTTCACAGGTTTGGAACAATCATTCCATATTGCCTGGCTGGTAATTCCTCGTTTTGCACGGCCTCCTTGTGTTAGTGCACATGACTCTAGCTAGTTACCTGGCAGCAAAATCATTTCCACCAGAGATGTGTGGTCCCTGACAGCTGCCGCATCGATTTGTAATTACTGAGTCAGCCCATCCACCCCCGCCCAGCCCTCCAGGTCTGGCCTCTGTTTACGCTGCAGTTACACTGTTTGTGTGCATGATATTGCTAATGTGGTAGAAAACAATTTGTTCTCTTTAGTAGGTAAGATTTTTCTCTTCCAATCTTCTTTATGTTATTGATTTTGCTTAATGATACCCCACTTGTTCATAGGAAGTCTAAAAATAAACTATGGTAATTTGAGATCGTAACTATTTGGGCAGGGTGAACTTGGAATTTATGAAGCTTGATGGTGCTAACATTTCTCAAAATTTTTTGTATGTTTCTTAGTGGGTTAAAATCCCAATCTGGTCAGTGAATTCAAATCAGGAAAAATGACAGCTTGGGTCTGAGAGGAAAAAGGAGCTAGCACAGGAATCCTTCATTTAACGGAATGTGTTAGAAGTAAAGAGCAGAATTATTCAATGGCCTGTAATTTTTTAATTAACTTCCATATAGATTTACATAATTTTAGGGTCCAGAAGAGCTTTAGATAAAAGCTTAAAAATCAGGGAGAATTATTTGATCTTTAGATATATTGAGACCATGTAAAAATGCAGCAAACTTTGAAAACCACTTGAGGAAATTTTTAAATTATGGTAGTCGTGATGGTGGTGGGGACATAAAATTATAAATTGTTTTTCTCTCATTTTCTAAATTTTCTACAATACAGCTTTAATAGTTTTGTGAAGGATGCAATGTAAACATTAAAATGAACCATCAACACTCTCACTAGTAAAAATGTTACACCAACTAATGGTGGAAAATCTGTAATTTGACAGATAGCTTATTTTTATTTATTCCCCAATCTCATGGCCTCATTAGAACTTAATTTAAACAAACTGAACAAAGTTTGATTAAAGTTCGCCTAGACTCCTGGAACATTCACTCATTCATTCCACAAATTAGTACCAAGTTCTCCCTCTAAGCCAGGTAGTCGTCTAGTTGTTAAGCTACAGTGATAACCAAGAGAGCAAAATCGCACCTTCTCAGAGATAGGGAATAATAAGTATATTATATATTGTCAAGGGGTGACAAGAACTCTGAAGAAAAACCAAGCAGGGGTAAGGAGATAAAGTCAGGGGAGGGGCTGTGATTTTAGGTAAATGCAATCCTGGAGGACCTCTCAGGGGTGGTGATATTTCCACAGAAACCTAAATGAAGTGACTGGGTGGCTGAAACAGGGCCATGGGCACACAAATTCTAAAATTTGGTTCTTCTACTACTTTAAACCAACTTGTAACCTAATCCCCAAGCCCTTATGTTCTTTAAATTGACTCAGTATGTTCTCTTAAATTAAGACCTCTGTATAGCATTGGCCTGTCTGTCAGTTCTCAGTAAATCAGAGAATGACACCTGCTGCTCAGAGCAGCCTGCAGTGGCTCCCCATTTTTCTCAGGGAATTTGCAGGTTCCTACAATGGCCTACAGAGCCCTACACAATCAGCCGTCCAATCCCTAACGTTTGCTATA